ATTCAAGCTAATATCTTCACATTGATATTTTATTAGTCTGGCAAGGAATTTTTGAGGAAAAATTTTTAAATTTTTTAAAATTTGACCCCTGTCTTCTTTAACTGTACATGGCCCAGCTCAACGGCTCTGTGAGAAGAGTGTATACAGCCTAGTGCCTAAAAAATCCTAGGCATTTGGTAAATGCTAGTCACCTACGTCTCTAGCAGATTGCAGACAGGACATATGGCTGCCTAACCGCATTCATATTGTTTTTAAGCATTCAAACAGTAGAACTGACAAATTAGGGTAAATCTCCCTGTTCTTATTTGACAACTAAAAAAAAAATCTTCTTGAAAGATTTTATTTCCATTAAAGCAAACGCAGCAGAAGCTCCATTTGTCCAACTGGCAAGAAATTATCAGCTAATAATCAGAGAAACACAGGATGATCACTTTACTTAGATGTCCCAACTCTCTTATTAATTTAAGGGCTGTGAACAAGGGCTGCTACCTAAAATGCTTAGATCCAATTTCTCTGGCCAAACTGAGATTATTTGATCATCAAAATGAATAATGATTAAAACAAAATGCATGAGTCTGGGCTAAAATAAGTAGACAGATAAGGTAGGGCAGGGAGAGAGAAAAACTTTTTTTTTTTTTAACAACAGATTGTCTAATAGCTGTAGAAAGAATCAAAGAAATAGAAAATCATTATTGTATAGCCATTATAGTAATAATTCAGGCAAGAATCATCAATGGAGTCTAATATCATTAGGTAAAAAGCTATTAGAGAACCAGATATTTACTCAATCTCCAAGTATCACCCCAGATTATATATTAATTACAAAAGAGAAAGGGCACCTTTATAAGAAAAATTTGGCAGGCACTGCCTTAACCAAATGGTCAAACTTAACATCACCCATGAGTGAAGCTGACATCATGTGCACCCTCTGTTGTGATACACCGAGAAGGATACATCATTTATTTTGTATTCTTGCTCAGATATTTAATCTGAATGAAGAAACAACCAGACAAATCCAAATTAATGGACATCTTGCAAAAACCCCAAAAAACAAAAAACTTGTCTTGACTCTTCAAACTAAGGAAGGTCATGTGTGGGTTTTCCAGCTGGCAGCACGAACTAGACCCCCAGCCACAAGCAAGCATTAACCACCAGACATGTAAGCAAATAAGCCTGCAAATTCCAGTCAAGTCTTCAGCTTTAAGTCTTCTAGCTGTGGTCCCAGACATCATACAGCAAAGACAAACTATTTCCCCATAGCCTATCCAAACTACTGACCCAAAGAAACGGTGAGAGAGAATACATGATTATTACTGTTTTAAGTCACCAAGTTTTAGAGTAACCTGTTATGCAATAATAGATAACTAACAGAGGCTCTACTAAGGCAGAATCTCAATTTTCCTCAATAATACCTACCTCATAGGGTTACTGGGAACATTAAATGGGCTAATGAATGTCAAGCCTGGCACAGTATGTATTCTTCATGAATGCTACCTAGTATTAAAATAACTTCAATTTGTGTAGTTAGAAGTATGAATAGAAGAATGCATAAGGTGCTTTGGGGAAGCACAAAAGAAGAGCGTTTGATACAGTCCTGGGGGTCATGGGAGGCTTCCTAAATTCAGCGAAGGACTGATTAATTGGGTTAAAAAAGCAGTAGAGGTACTTCTGCCAAAGAAAACAGATTAAGAAAACATATAGAAGCATGAAACAGTATGGCATATGTAGAAAACTACAAGTTTCGTATTGGTAGAATAAAAAAAAAGCAAGAAGTGACCAGAAACAAGGCTACAGAAGTCGGGAGAGTTCAAAACCTCTATAAAGAGGGCCTTGTATATGAAGTTATAGACCCCATGACAACGGATTTTAAGGCAGGAAGTGATACAGATCTGAACACTGAGGCACATAATCCTGCAAGGGTAATATGGGAGTAAATTTAAGAATGATAAAGCTTTGAAGGAGGCTAATGCAATAGTGCAGGCAAACAAGAAAAGATGTAGATATGAACTAGGGGGAAAATGGCTGGACAAAATGGGAGTTGAGAAATAGGAAAAAAAATCAGAAAGACTTAATGTTTGATTGGATGTGTATATGAGCTGGATGAGACAAAGAAAAGATTCTAGATTAATGCCTAGGTAGAGAGTGGTACTTCCAATCAAAATCAGAAATAAAGAAAAAGGATCAGGTCTGGAAGAAAAGAGTTTGGTTTCCATTTTTGTGAGTTTGTAGTACCTATGGAACATCCAAATAGAAATGTCTAACAAGAGGTTATACATTCAAATCTTAAATTAGGGAGAAAAGTCAAAAAGAAATATAGATTTGGGAGTGTTTGTATACAGGTAATTATTAGAACTGTGAGAGAACCTAATAATGGCCAGAAAACGCTTACAGAGCAGTATTCTCAACCAGAGACAATTTTGCTCCCCCAGGGGAACATCTGGCAATATCTGGAGACATTTTTGGTTGTCATAACTTTGGGGGAGGGGGGGTTGGTTACTGCATGTAGTAGGTAGAGGCCAGGGATGCTGCTAAACATCCTACAACATACAGGAGAGCCCTACAGAACAAAATTATCCAGCCAAAATGTCAACAGTCCCAAAGTTAAGAAACCTTGTTGAAGGGTAAGAAGAAAACCAAAATGAAGGAAACACCTTAGGAAAACAAATATACAGAAATACTATCCACAAGAAGGAGAAGTCAGAAAATAAGTAAGTCAAGAAAATATACTATCATGGAAGTCACAGAAGTAGAGAATTTCTAGAGGGAAGAAAAAGACCAAAAATGTTGAATTCAGTGAATGGGACCCATGAGATAAAAATTTTTAAAGTATCCACTGGGTATGTAACCAGAATAGAAGGTCACCAGGGATTTTAGTGAAAAAAGGGCCAGACTATAGGAGCAGAAGCATAATAAGAGATGAGAAAGTACATAAAATAAACATAGGCTCCCCTTAAGAAATCTTATTCAAAGGGGAAGGAAATAAGATTAGGCAGTAACTAAAGCAGTGGTTCTCAACGCTGGCTACAATCAGAATAACCGAAGGAGCTTTTAAAAATTACAAATGCTTGGACCTCACCCAGAATAATTAAATCAGAATCCCTGGGGGTATGGCCCAGGTATCTGTATTCTAAAAAATATCCTCAGTGACACTAATGTATAGCCAAAATTGAAAACCACAGAGCTAAAGGAGGAGGGAGAGGTATAAGGGGACGGGGCAGGGAGCAGTAAAGGGGGAAAAGAGAACAGGGAGAAGAAAATGAATGAAACAAAATCCCAAAAGAAATAGGTACATGGGCTGATGGAGTTGCTTTGGAAAAAAGAAAGGATACCTCATCTCAGGAGACTGGAAGGAAAAATAAATACTGATGTCAAAGAAATTGGGCACAGGGATTTGGGGAGTTCATGCCTAAAGTCCTAATTTTTATAATGAAGAATACAAATAAGCTGCTGAGAATCATCTACTAGATAGGAAATTCAGAGACTGAAATGTAGTGATCGTTCAAAATATTTGCAGAGGGAAATGCAAATTAAAAGCACTGACAGTTTAATGGAGATTAAATGCCCTTTACCAGCTGCAGGGGCACCAGTGGGCACATTTATATGATTTTCCTCCAGCAGTACTTATCCATTGCCAAGTAAAGGAGCATGGAAAAGTGGACCACAGCACTGACTGGCAGTTTAGCGGGTGGGAGAAAAAGCACAGGATGTAAAAGTTTAGATAAACTGTAGTTGAGGAGTTCAACAACAGGGTCCAAGCCAGGTAGTAAAGGGAAAGTAATACAGATACAGTTTAAATGGCACAGGAAATGATGGATTTACCTCTGAGCACCGTAAGTTATTAAAAGTCTAAGATATCATTGGCTTTTGTCCTAGACAATCCCATTAAATCAGACTTCCCATAGCCTATAATTGTCCTAAGAAAGACTGTCTGCAACTAACTTTGAAATTTACAAAATATAAGACGAACTAATGGACAAATCAATGGATAGATATGTGATAACATAAGTATAGTAAAATATTAATAGTAAAATCTAGGTGTGTGGAGGGGAGGGGAGTGTAGACTCTAGAACAGCAGTGTCCAATAGGACTTTCTGAGATGATGGAAATGTTTATAACCTGTGCTGTGAAATATGGTGTCTACTCGATATCTGTGGCTACTGAGCACTTGAAAAGTGGTGAGTGTGACTGAGGAATTTTGAGTCTTTTGAACTTTTAATTAATTTAAATTGATATAACCGCATGTGGCTAGCAGCTGCTATCTCAGTGCAGCACAAGATGCATATATCCCTGGGTTCAAGTCCTAGATTCACCATTGATCCAAGTTACCTTACTTCTCTGAGTCTTTGTTTATTCTTATATAAAATGAGAATAGCAACAATACCTACCATTTTATATGGATTAAATGAGATAAGAGAAAAAGCATGAAGCACAATCCTATGCATACAGCAAACACTTAGAAAAATCAGTGTTTATTATTCCTACTAAAAGGGATCCATGAGATCAAGTAGCACCATCTGTTTTGCTTACCATTATATCCCCAGTATCCAGTACAAGTGTCCCAGCATAAAAGACACTCAATAAATATTTGTTGCATGAATGTTTTGCAGAAGACTATATCATTATTAAATTTCATATTAAGTCCATTGCCCTAATCTATTGAGGTCTTTTTGAATCCTAATGTCATCCAATATATCTGCTATCCCTTTCAGTATCTTCTGAAGTTTTGACAAACATATCACTGATATATTAATCTGAAATATTAATAAAAATATTAACCAGAGACCTATATCATTAGTTTTATCATCCGTCAGTTTATCATCAGTAAATTATACTAGTTGAGTATAGACACTCAATTTAGCTTCATTTTCATTCTGTATATATATCCCCATCTTGTCCACAAAGGTAATAAGTATGAAAACCTTATAAAGATTAGGTTATGTCAATATGTCCTTCATTGAAACTACCCTTTAAAAGAACTTAAATAACAACTTTGCACTCACCTTTCAAAAGCAGGGGATCTATCAGGACGAGTACTTCCTCGAGATCTGTATCTTTGAGTCACTGACAGCCGTGGCGGCCGACTTGGTCCCCAGAAGTCAGTGTGAGTTTGGTGACCCCTCTCATTGGCTCTATTATCTTGGTCCAGTAGACTGCTACTTAGAAAGGGTCTAAAATCTTGGAAAAACATCGTGGGGTCCAAATGGTCCCAGAACTAGTAAAAACCAGAAATAAAGCACATGTTACTGGTTTTAAGAAAAGGAGAAAGAGGAAACAGGAAGAAGAAATACTGAAAAAAGAGAGGATTAACTTTTAACACTTCAAAATTCAGCAGTTCCGAATTAAAGAAATGTATGCTTCTCCAATTTCATGGAGGAGAAAAGAGAAGTCTTTCAAGTATATGCACAGGGGAAAAAATTTATATACCAAGAAACTACTTCCTTCATATAGAAACAAGCCAGGACTTCCCTGGTGGCGCAGTGGTTAAGAATCCGCCTGCAAACGCAGGGGACACGGGTTCGAGCCCTGCTCTGGGAAGATCCCACATGCCACGGAGCAACTAAGCCCAGGAGCCACAACTACTGAGCCTGCACTCTAGAGCCCGCGAGCCACAACTACTGAGCCTGCGTGCTGCAACTACTGAAGCCCGTGTGCCTAGAGCCCGTGCTGCGCAACAAGAGAAGCCACTGCAATGAGAAGCCCGCGCACTGCAACAAAGAGTAGCTGCCGCTCACCGCAACTAGATAAAGCCCGCAACGCAGCAATGAAGACCCAACGCTGCCAAAAATAAATTAATTAATTTAAAAACAAAAAAAGAAACAAGCCAATGTCTGGACCTTAACACTGAGCTCAGATCCACATGCCTCTGACCAGTTTCCCATACTAAAAATAAAAACTTGAGCCAAAGGTGATCATGAACTTCTGTCCTAAGCATAGTCAACCATCTAGATCAACATTACAACCTTGTGTTTTGTAACAATGACATCCACATTTCCACCATAGAATAAAGATTAAACAAAATGGATGTATTTATACACTTGTTAAAAAAAAAGGCAGCATCACCACAAAGTGAAGACACGTGTCTATAAAATACTTAACTTATAGAAGGTTCATCAGAAAGCTGTGGCAAAGCTGTGACAAAGCAGTGTAAGAATGCCTGATAAGACTATTCTATTGTACACACTTTTTACTAAAAGGGTCTTGGTGGGGGTAGTGTTTGTTGGGTTTGGCCAAGGAATCACTAAACAAAGAGTAAATGGAAAAAAAAAAATTACATCTGAAATAATTTAAATTTTATTTATCTGTTTATCCATCCACCTGTTGACAGGCATTTGGGTTGTTTCTAATTTTTTATTATTACAAATAGTTGCTATGAACAATTATGTACATATCTTAGAGGAGTGGAATGGCTGAATCATATGGCTGATGTATTTTTATCTTTTTTAAAAAACAGCTAGCCTGTTTTCTAAAGTGGTTGTACCATTTTTACATTCAATTTCAGTTGCTCCATAGCCTCACCAAAAGTTAATATTGTCAGTCTTAAATTTTAACCATGCTGTAAGTGGTATAGTGGTATTTCATTTTGGTGGTTTTTATTTTTTGGCCATGCCACGCGGCATGTGGGATATTAGTTCCCCAACCAGGGACTGAACCCATGCCCTCTGCAGTGGAAGCAGAGTCCTGACCACTGGACCACCAAAGAATCCCCTCATTGTGGTTTTAGTTTGCAATTCCCTAATGACTAATGATGTTGAGCATTTTTTTTTTTTTGCCATCTATATATCTTCTTTGGTGAAGTAGATTGTTCAAATCTTTTGCCATTTTCTGAAACTGGGTTGTTTTCTCATTATTCCATTTTAAAAGGTCTCTACATAGCCTGGATACAAGTTTTTTTTTTAAATAAATTTATTTATTTATTCATTTTATTTTTGGCTACATTGGGTCTCTAGAAAATAAATTTATTTGTTCAATAAATTAAGGAAAATTAGAATAGTTTTTTAAAAAGAATAAGAAGCACTAGAATGACTACCAGGAGCAGTGGATATTGAAAGAAAAATAAAAACAGTGCTCATCCTCAAATCAGCTCACGGATGCCTGGAATATAAGGCTCAAAAATAAAAGGAAATTAAGAGGTTTATAATATGCTGGCTGGGAAAGAAAGGACTCTCAGAACAAATCTCAAGACTATGGGTGAGGGGTTTCCCTGGTGGCATGGTGGTTGAGAATCCGCCTGCCAATGCAGGGGACCCGGGTTCAAGACCTGGTCCAGGAAGATCCCTCAGGCTGCAAAGCAACTAAGCCCGTGTGCCACAACTACTGAGCCTACACACTAGAGCCCGCGAGCCACAACTACTGAGCCCACGTGCCACAACTCCTGAAGCCCGCACACACCTAGAGCCCATGCTCCGCAACAAGAGAAGCCACAGCAATGAGAAGCCCGCGCACTGCCACCAAGAGTAGCCTCCGCTCGCAGCCACTAGAGAAAGCCCACGCACAGCAACGAAGACCCAACGCAGCCAAAAATAAACTTTTTTATAAAAGGCTATGGGTGACTATGGCAAATTCCTAAATTTTATAAAAATAGAGTATTCAAATGTCATTCACAAAGAAAAAAATACGATGTCCAATGCCCACCCACCCCCCCAAAATGTAAACACTCTGCCATAAACAATCTCTTGAAAGGCACCTTTTCCCAAATGAGTTTAAATTTAGAGGCTATGGACTCTGGTCAACTGGCAGTCACTGAACAAAAAACTGGCAAGGCTGACACCAAGACTGTTTTCTGTTTCACTCTTCTTCCTTCAGCTACCATTGAGTTTATGTTATGGTCTTTGCTTGGCAACAGTATTACTGGTGTGAACTTAGTCACGAATGACATAAACATAGTTATTCTTTGAACAACTGTTGAAGAGCTCAGGAGTTTTACTTGATATTTCCAAATGGACTGGATGTGAAGTAGGCAGCACTGTGAAATGAGCTATTTTAACCCTTCATACTAAAAAGTGAGACAGATGAAAGATTTGGTTGAGTTAATTCAACCTTTAAGATCCCATCCAGGCTGCAGCTGCTCAAAGAACCCAAACTCTACCTGGCATTTGAGTACAAGCCCTCTGGCTGAGACTGGGAAGAACAGCAAACAGGTAAAGGATGATTTACTTGGTAAAGGAAAGTTAAAGGTTTGAAATCTTTAACTTCTTTTCACTAGGTTTAATCATTTAAAATTACCATCTTTGTAGGTCAAAAACAGTAGAATATCAACACTTTTATTTATTGTAGTTCAATTTAATTTAACTTTATGTTGTTCTTGATTATTTCAGAGCTTTCTCCACAGGTCCCAGGAGCACACACAAAAGAGCATGAGCTGGTAATGGAGAGAACCTTCATGAAGGTGGAAGTAAAACTGCCCTCAAAGCCTACTGATCTCCTCCCCTAACTACCAGAGGTACTAGTCCCAATCCCCTGCTAACTATAGACTTAAATTACTAAACCCAAAGGGGAGGAGGGAGGAATCAGAGCTTTCATGTTCACCTCTGACCTCTTCATTCATTCCTCATTACTCCTCCCTACCAGAGGAGTGATGCATCTGATTGGTGAGTGGCAAAAGTTTTTGCTAATTAGCAAAAGTTCTGCTAATTCGCATTTCTCCAATGGATGGAGTTCATTTATAAGGAGGCTGCATAAATGCAAAAGAAGTGGTTCTGAGTATTTGTGCCTGCTCAGCAGCCTCTAATTCTCAAGTGGGTCATCCTGTGCAGACTTAGGATGTTCATTTGGCCACAGATCAACTGTGCTCTCCATTTGGCTGAATAAAAACTAAATCTTTATTTCCATCTGCCTGGCGTCTATGTTTTATTTCTCAGTATGTTCTGGACGCTCAGATGGAGGGAAGAGGTATGATCAATTATCAACCATCACATATAACCAGACAGGTTTTAACACAGGATAACAGTTTAATATAGCACAGGCATGAAATAATATGAAGTCATAAAATATATAATTCTTATAACTATGAAGAGATAAGAAAAAAGATTTATGACATAATCCTAAGTAAATTTTAAAAATCAGAAATACAATACAGTATATCCTATGATTATATCTGAAAAGTTATGAAGCATGAATGTGAGAAATGGAAAGTATTAAAAATAAATAAATAAATAAAGTAAAAATAAGGTAATGAGAATATGGAAGATTTTTCATTTTTAAAAAGTCTTCTTAATGTTGTTACAATATTTTTCAGTATCTATGCCTCAAGACAAAACCTGAAAGGAAATGTATGGAGAAAGGGGGCTCTTAGTAGAGCGGGACTCCAGATGCTTTTTAATACCTTTTTTATTGCCCATTGTAATGTTGCATATGTAGCAAAACAAACTTTATTTAAATAAATATAAATCAGACTGCTCAGAGTACCCTGCCTTCTTGCACACCTGGGAGTTCTTTTTTTAGAAAGCCATCTATCTTATTTTCTGCTAATCTGAGGCAGCAGCTACAGCCGCTCTTGCACTGAAGTGATAAAACTGAGGTAAGTTGAGACCTTCCGATCAGATGTCTCACTGGCACCAGGTCATGGTCAGAAGCTTTCAAGTAGTCAATGAAACCCCTCAGATAGCCATGGGCTCCATTCCCCAGGTTATCAACAGGAACCTCAGTATAGCTATGTCCTCTCTCTATACAAACTGCTAGCAACATTTCTAGATTCACTCTCCACTGACCCTCACACATCACTCATAGTTCCCATTTAACTGGCAACACTCCTCCATCCTCATACACCCTCCCTATCTCCCCCACCCCAGACCCAATTCAGAAAAAAAAATCAATACCAATTATATGAGAAATTTTGCTTGGACTAAGCCTCTTCTGATATATCTAGTATTTTAAGAATTCAGCTATTAGTAAATGCTAATTAAGAAAATAACCTCTTCATTGTACAAGCAACTCTGGCTGAAGAAAAACAGAGCAAAATTGAGCATAAGGCTTTGCTGAAATTACCAACTGAAATATAGAAAAGAAAAATAGCTTTCGTTTCCACACATAATTTTCTTTTTATTGACTGACTGATTGATTGATTGACTGATTTTTGGCTGCATTGGGTCTTCATTGCTGCGCATGGACTTTTTCTAGTTGCGGTGAGTGAGAGCTACTCTTCGTTGCGGTGCGTAGGCTTCTTATTGCGGTGGCTTCTCTTGTTACAGACCACAGGCTATAGGCGCGCGGGCTTCAGTAGTTGTGGCACACGGACTCAGTAGTTGTGGCTCACGGGCTCTAGAGCGCAGGCTCGGTAGTTGTAGCGCACGGGCTTAGTTGCTCTGCGGCATGTGGGATCTTCCTGGACCAGGGCTCGAACCCATGTCCCCTGCATTGGCAGGCGGATTCTTAACTACTGTGCCACCAGGGAAGCCCTCTCCACACATAATTTTCTTTCTAAGTTTTTCCTCCAGGGACATGGGTATAAGACCTTATGGCCTATGAATACTATCTTGAGATAGCATTTCTCACCTCTTTGCTTATCTAAATTCCACATACCCTTTAAGGCTCTAGTACTTGAAGCCTTGTTTTACCTTCTCCATGAAGGAGTTTTACCTTCTCCATGAAGTCTTAATAATGGCTAAAATTTATTAAGCGCTCACTATATGGCAGGCACACTGGCCCACACACCTGGCATGTATCAACTCACCTAATCCTCATGACAACCCTCTGAGGTAGGTATTATTATTTTCCCCAACTTATAAAGGAGAACACAGAGGCACAGAGAAATTCTAAGTAATTCTGCCCAGGTTACCTAGTCAGTAAGCAGTAGACCCAGGGTTTAAACTCAGGCAGTCTGGATCTGTGCATATCACTATGTCATTTGACCTCTTTCCTAAAGATTTTAGTCTTCCCAAAGACTGCAGCCCACCTAATCTCTCCCTTCTACTGTACTTGTTACATCCCCATAATAAGTTTATTATACTCTCTGTACACACTTGTTTTCATATCTGTTTCATATGTTTGCACTTGTTCCTCAAATAAATTATAAGTTCCTTGCTGGCAAGGCAACCATAACATTTGCTTCTTGCTCCTACTTCTAGCAGAGTGCTGGAAGTGCACTAAACATATACTTCTTAGATGATTTTTTTAAATCCCTGACAACTTCTACAGTATTAAAAGAAAATACTTTTTTTTTCTATTTTTTAAGTGCAAAATATCGTTTAAAAAGGAGAAAACTGAAATATTCAGGCATGATGACAAGGGAAAACTGGGCATAATCATGCCCTTGCTACAAACCCTTAAGAACATGAAGTCACAGGCTATGACTAAGCAAAATTACTTCAACACCTGAAGGATAACTCATGCAGTCAGTGTCAGATTTAGCATTACTGAAGTTAGGAAACTGACTATATATATTTATTTTTCTTCTGAATGCATCTCCTCCTGGTGAGTCATATCTATAAAACTGACAGACCAATGTATTTCCACCTCCTAAAAGAGAACTAACACTTAAGGAAAATCAGATGAAGTCTCTTCTGATGCATATGCATAACCAGTAAGTGAAAATCTGTGTAATCAGGAATAGCATACACAAGGAAAAAAATTACTAAAACCGGAAAGGCTTCCAGGCCTGGTTAGCAGAATCAATTTTAAGTAATATTTTTCCATCCACCAAAATAAGAAAGTGGGAGTTCAAAGACATAATCTGTCTTGAATCACACTAATCAACCCATGTACCAAGGCAGTTCAGAGTTAAGCAAAAAGCTGAATGCTGGATATTAAGAAGTACCACAGGGGCTTCCCTGGTGGCGCGGTGGTTGACAGTACGCCTGCCAATGCAGGGGACTCGGGTTCGTGCCCCAGTCTGGGAAGATCCCACATGCCGCGGAGCGGCTGGGCCTGTGAGCCATGGCCGCAGAGCCTGCGCGTCCGAAGCCTGTGCTCCGCAACGGGAGAGGCCACAACAGGGAGAGGCCCGCGTATCGCAAAAAAAAAAAAAAAAAAAAAGAAGTACCACAGACCATAAGTAAAAGAAAATACCTTAATAAAACAGGACTGTTACCCAAAAATTTCATTAAGTTTCTTGACTATAAAGCTAACAACGGAAAAATCTGGGGAGCTGGGAATTCCCTGGCGGTCCAGTGGTTAGGACTTGGCGCTTTCACTGCCAGGGCCCAGGTTCAATCCCTGGTTGAGGAACTAAGATCCAGCAAGCTGAGCAGCAAGTCCAAAAAAATTTTTTTAAAAACCTGGGAGCTACAGGTCTTAAGATGATTTTCAGAGGATAAAGGAGAGAAGCTTAGGGTTTTATGGGTTTCTTATTGAATACCAGTTTTCAAATACACTGCAAATACAGTTTTAATTTATACACAAATAACTACCAAAAAGTTTTGCTAGTTCTTCAGGTACTTGAACTATCTCCAAAAAAGGCTAATATGATCCTGAAACACAAAGAAATTCTGATTATGGGATTTAAGGGGTTTTTTTTCTTTTAGCATCTGTTAGCTTTCTAGAGCTAACCAAGCTGTGCGGCAATAGGAGCAAAAGCAAACCAGTGTTTTTTGTAGGCAGAGCTGGTCTGTCCCTTGTGAGGTAACAGTCTCTAAATGCTAATAAACAAAGAGTACTTAATGCCACTTAAAATTGTACACTTAAATTGTACACTTAAAAATGGTTAAAATGGTCCAAAAAAACCAGATTTTAAGTCAATGGATTAAATGAAAAAGAAAATTACTGCGTTTAATTTAAAATGGTCTTCAAGGATACAGATTAATGTCTTATTTTCAAATCCTAGTTAAGATTATTTTTCCCAAAAAATACGGATGCTGCATTATATAAAGAACTGGAAATTAATTGTAGGTCCCATCTTGAGACCTGGAAGGCAAGCAAATATCTTATCCTTAATCTAGCCCTGAAATTCCAATTACAAACTACCACAATCATTAAAGGTAATCTCTAGAAACCAGTACCTCTGTGTAAAATCATAGACTGTGCCTCATTGTGACTTCAATTACAACTCATCCTGGCCTGTTCTTTACTTGACTGTCAGACCATTAAGAGTCTGCAACACTGTTATTTAAAAAACAATACAAGCTTTTTATTCTCACACCATATACACAATATAGAAGCAGAAAACAGAACTGAAAACACCACCAGGTTTCAAATATAGCACAGCTCTCTCCTAATCAAAGGTTTACTAAAAGTAACATGCCAAAGCCCCAACTATTGAACACAAATCTTTCTAAGACTACTCTTGCCCATATTTTTCTTATACATTCTGATGTTTTGCTGCACTGGGAAGTGAAAATCTGTCATGGTTTTAACACCCACCCACTATCTAAAGAATCCATACAGCCAACGGAAAACTTACCTCTGCAAAATGTGTTGATGTGCTGCTGCCACCACCTAAAAAACTGAAGAGAAAAAGCAATGAGTAGTGATTCTATTCCCAGGAACAAGCTTCCCTCCTGGAAGCTAAATATAGAATGGTACAATGAGAGCAAATCCCAATAAGGAAAAATAACTCATCCCAACATGACACCCTCAAAGGAAATTATGAAGAACTGGCATGTGGATTAATCTATGAAAAATATTATAACAAACTACAAAATCAAGGGTAAGCCAAATGAAAAATTGGGGAGAGGGCTTCCCTGGTGGTGCAGTAGTTAAAAATCTGCCTGCCAATGCAGGGGACACAGGTTTAAGCCCTGGTCCAGGAAGATCCCACATGCTGCAGAGCAACTAAGCCCGTGCGCCACAACTACTGAGCCAGCACTCTAGAGCCCGCGAGCCACAACTACTGAAGCCTGCGCGCCTAGAGCCTATGCTCCGCAACAAGAGAAGACACTGCAATGAGAAGCCCGCACACCACAACGAAGAGTAGCCGCCGCTCGCTGCAACTACAGAAAGCCCGCACACAGCAACGAAGACCCAACCAGCCAAAAATCAATAAGATAAATAAATTTTAAAAAAAATTGGGGAGAGAGACTATCACAGAGAAGGAAGAAGGATCCACAGCCAGCAATGCAGCTCAAATCTGAGCAAAGGAAGAAAAACATCTATTCTCAGAAGCTAAGAAATAAAACAAGATTCTCAAAATAATATTTCATTAAAAAACCATTTAACCACCAGATGAAAACAACATTTGAAACTATTGGGAATGATTAAATGTAGTAATGCAAGGGGTCTGATACTATATTTAGCACCTTACAAAAGGGCTCAATAAATATTTTTTCTTCTTCTGATAGCTTATCCTATTCTATGATTATCCTACCCACCCTTCAGGGCCCATCCTCCATTAAGTCTTTTCTAAACTCACCAACCAAACAAGACTCCTCCACACCCCTCTGCACTGACTTTGATTCTAAATTCAACCTTTTATTATAAATATCTAGGGCTTCCCTGGTGGCACAGTGGTTGAGAGTCCGCCTGCTGATGCAGGGGACACGGATTCGTGCCCCGGTCCGGGAAGATCCCACATGCCGCGGAGCAGCTGGGCCCGTGAGCCATGGCCGCTGAGCCTGCGTGTCCGGAGCCTGTGCTCCACAATGGGAGAGGCCACAGCAGTAAGAGGCCCACATACCGCAAAAAAAAATAAAAAATAAAATATCTAGAATTTTCCTCATCCATTTCTACTTGTTCCCCTCCTTTCATAAACATAAATTCAGAGGGTAAAGGCTGTATTTTATTAATACCACAAATATATGTGTTTATTATGTATCAGCCATTATACAGAGCACTCACCACTTGTGAAAACCCTGCTTTACCATATCCTATATTGATGACTGGAAAGTAAAAGTTGTTGAATTAATATCACATGTATAAAACTATTCCCAAAGACTGGGGAAAAATATTTGATCCCACTGTCCCCACGAAATCTGCAAAGAAGAGAGGAAACTGGCTAACACACTTTGGCGGAAACGGGATGGAAAGTATCACAAGATCTGCTGGATATCACTTTTACTTCAAGAGACACACACATGTGCACCAAAGTACACACACTAGCACACAAGCATGCACACACTCACCTCAATGAAATAAAGTCCACAAACTATTATAAATAATTTTCATTTTCAGAATTACAATACCAATCCAGGCACTGCACTCAGCTCATTGAAGAAACAAACACACTCCAGTTAGTCTGGAACCAAAAGTGAAAAAACGAGGCTAATGCCATTCTCTACGTCATCATTCTCAGGCCTTATTCTCTAATTAGAAACCATTTAACAACTGTATTTGCTTCAGAAGTTAAAACATCTTTTGTAAAAAACACTTCAAATGTAGAACAAGCCCAAAAGTACCAGTACATCTATGCTAAATAAATAACTGAACTACCACTATGTATCCATTTTATTACTCAAGCCTAGATAGGCTTCCAGGGCTCTTTCCTGACTTTACCATACAGTTTCAAGAATTCAAACATCTTTGGTAATTAAAGCTATCAACTCTATCTTTTGGGCTTCTTCTCCCCCTGAAACTCCCTCAGCATTCCCTTTCCTTAAAATTCCTTTGCATTTTAAGAATGATAAGGCTAATCATAGAGAAGGGATAATAACAAGCACAACATTCTGAGAAATGTTACAAAGCTTAAGAAAACCTACAAGATGCCCCTCTAGCTGAAATGTCTAATAGCAAATGGAACCCATTATCCAGTATTTACATAAGGACTTGCTCTCATTAATTTTTACCATCCACTACTTACTACTGTAATTGCTAAGTATTCAAATAAGCAAATGTTTATGAACTTTATAGAAGGGAATACCATGCTACATCTAAGACTGATTCTAAGACAAAGATTTCTTCAACTATTTAAAACACTGATATTTCAAAAGACATAATCTTTGCATTTGAATATCTGGTACCAATAGCACCTGTACAGGACAACCTTTGACTTACAAAGGCACAAAGAAAAGAATTAAGTCAAATGAGAGCAGGAGCCATAGAATTCATAGTTCCCCGCTAGAAAAGATTCATCCTGCAGTTACTCACAAACCTCATTTATAACTATACTTTGTATACAGGGCTAAAGAAAGCAGGATTAGTATTTAAAAACTTTGAAAAAATCACCCCCCAACAACCAATATGCTCTTCATTCAATGCATGCAGAGCATACCTGCTTGAAATAAGTATTAGATGCAATTATAATAGCACAAATAAAAAGATATCCCAAGTTAGCATGCCATCCACGCAAAATTGCTAATTTTGCTATCAAGCTAATCTTTATAGATTTAGAACTGGTATTGTGTTATTTAAAACCAAGATTATTATATCAACACTTAAGTGTTTGTACCAAACTAGATCCCATGCCATATATTGCCTTAGAAGCTCCAGTTCATTTACACATATATAATCACTGATCATTAATAAAGTTAAACTAATTGTACATACTGTAAAATGTGTAGTTTTTCCTGGTTGTGGAAGGGACCTTCAACTTTATATTCTGCCAACAGCAACAGTAAAGGAATTATTTACTGCCATTATTTTTTACTGCCCCAAAGTCATCCCAAGATTAAAAGAAGCTTCAGATTACAGATTCTTTTTACCCAGTCAGTATTTCTTCAGTTGTCCAACCAATGTTTAACCAGATAGCCAAAAAAGAACAAATGTGTTATTACATTTACCCCAAAAAGGCCCTCCTATCAACACTATTCTACTTTTTGTTAAGCTTTCATAGTTTTAATCATATTGACCAAGAAGGAATACTTAACACTGTCACTTTCAGAAATAATGTCCCCTTTTTATAGGTTTTATACCATTAGTAAAAGCAACAAGAGCCAATATCAAGCATTACCAGCAAACTGATATTACAGTGGCAAGATGGCATAAGTTTGACCGCAATAATCCTAGTAAGGACAAGGGACCCACGGCTTCCGCAAGAATAACAACTCAGTTTCCCTGGCTAGAACAGCCTGTTTATCTTACTAGATATCTTTGTCAGAAGTCACTCACCAGCCCACCAAAGAGGTATAACAGAAATTTACCTTCAGGACACAGAGTGGTCACTAAAAACCAACCAATAATCCAAGAGATCCCCAAACTCTTAGAAAATATACGAAAACTTACCAGATTTACTATGATATGGATACAGAGGTTTCCAAGGAATGCCACAGTAGATCTCATCACACCCACTATCACATCATTTTCCAAATTTTCCCATTTTTCTTCCCCTTCGCTCTGCCACTTTTCTTCTCTCTCTCTCAATAGAGTATGTTATAAAACAAATTCCCTTCTATTCATTCAGTTGATGCTGAGAAAAATAATTTTGATAACAGAATGCCTGATTTATTCATGAGCTTGTACAATACCTGGAATCATCTGTCATTTCTTCAATAAAGCCTGATTCACATCTGGGACAAATATATTCCTATAAAAGAAAGGAAGACAAATAAAAGTTGTTCATCAGAAAGCTAAGCATATAGTTTCAGAATAATATGCAGTACACAAGCTGATGCTGTGAAATGTAGTATGTACTTGCTGACGCCCAGGACAGTTTTTTCTGTTATACTCTGGCAAATAAAGAATTCCATGAGATGTCTACAGAATGGCTTCACAAGCAGTTCCCACTGAGAACTAAAACAAGAATGTCAAAGTTTTTTATTTTTTTTAAACTGGAATGAATTCATTATCTAATTTTCTATTCAAATCTACTGAAAAAGTTCCACTACATATATCAGAGCAGTAGAAGATTATAATATTCATGGGTACAGAAATTGCTGTATTTTTTTTACTATGTACATACAGGAGACATAAACTGAATCACAGAATAAATCAATTTGTAGACTAGGAATTTACAGTGAAGTTTTACAATATTTCTGATCTGCTTTTTGATTATCAGTGGTTCCAAATAAAACAATGTTCTCAGGTATTCTATAGAAATGATCATTTAAATAACCAGAACAATCCCATTAGATCAGCTTCTATTTCCTTAACTACCATGAATCTTTCTTTTAAATAAGTAAATATTTCTTTTAAATATCAAGCTTTGGGGCTGATAAGAAAGAATATAATTTAGAGACTGCCTTACCATAGTTTTAAAAAAGTATATTTTAACTACCTATTAAAATAGATCTGGGAAAGACATTTTCAACTATTTTCTTGCTCTCTATTTCTCTAAACCTGAAAGTCTGTCTTATCAGAAGGAAATGTAAGCTGTATTTGCCTACTCAAACAAAGACAGTCAGAATGGTAACTCAAATATTCAAATGCTTTCTTAAAAGAGATATAAAGAAAAAAGACCAATCCCTTCTGTCAAGGAGATTAGTTTGGTGAGGAGACAGTCAATGCAAGAAACAGTAAAATTTAATAAAAGACTTTCTTTAATCAGTGCACACTGGGAATATAAACAAATACCGAAGTCTGCCTGATGGAATCAGGGAAGGCTTTATCTGAAACAGAGACTTAAAACAGTACTCTGTTTGCTCAATAAAAAAGGAAATTATGGGTTAAAAACTGTAACAACAGAATACAGCATGCATGGAGGTTGGAGGGGAATGGTATGATGAGTATGAATAGGCAGGCTGGAACCAGACTGTGGAAAACTTCACATTACCATGAACTTTACCCTGTGGATTAGAAATCTCTCAACCTTTTCTCTCCTCTATACACATGAAAGACGAGAAACACTCATAATGGGCATACTGTGAACTACTCCAGAAATGAAATAATCTGGAGACGATATGAATCCCTGAGCCCCTCCCTCTACTCCTTCATCCCCCACCCTCCCAGGCAGCAGTAACTACATTCCTTTCTCTCCCACTAAGAAAGTTTATCTGAAAGGAAGTGAGATTGACTTTAGAAGGCTAACCTTAAATCTATTCTAAAGTTAAAAAGAAAAAAATATCAATTACAAAATGTGATTTGTCACCATCCCAGTGCCAGGCCCTCCTCTTTCTTTTCTCTTCCTCTCTCACTCATTCCCATTGCTTTAAAATCCCCTGTATGAAAAAAATTAAAAATAAAAATAAAAAAATAAATATCCCATATGTGGAACAACTCCCAAATGTCTCTCTCTAACCCAGGCCACTCTTCTGATTTCCAGATTCATTTATCCTCATACGTATTTTCTCTCATGCTCTTTCTCTCTCTTACACACACACACACACTCTCTCTCTCTCTCTCAAGAGGCGGCATTATCAGTTTGTTCATACCAGAAAACTGGGAGTCGTTCCTAACACCTCCCTCTCACCTTCCACAGACAACCATCAAATCCTGGCACTCCTACCATGAACACATTTCTCAAACCTACTCCTTGCCCCACTGCCTTACTATCTTAACCCAAGCCAACACTGGCTCTAGACAATGAATAACTTCAATCTTAAGTGTTGTCCTGCTTCTCTTCTAGCCTTTTCCCATCTGTTCTGCATGAAGAAGTCAGAATGATCTTTTTAAAACATAAAATGGACCATATATCATTTCCCATCTTAAAACCTTTCAACTATTTCCAAAAACACTTAGAATAAAATCAAACTCTTAAACATGCCTTACAAGGCCCTAATTCAGCTGGTCTCTGTTTAACTTGCCAACCTCATTTCAGGCTACCCTCCCTCAGTGAATTCCAGCTACAAGGACCTCCTTTCAGTTCTTCTAACACATCAAGCTCATTCCTACCTCAAGCTTTCATACATTCTGCTCCTACGACTGAAACACTCTTCCCCTAACTTTTTGCATGGCAAGGGACTTCTAGTTCTTTAGGTCTCCATTTTAAGGTCATGTCAGAAAGTCCCTCTTTCATCATCCAATCTAAAGTGGTTTCCTCTTATTATTTTCTCCTATAGCACCCTGTTCATTCCTTTGTTGTAGTTTATCTTATGACAGGGCCGAAAGTAAGCTCATCACACGAGATGAATTGTGCCAAAGCACAGCAGTAGAGGGCTGCCGCTCGCTCAGGCAAAACAGCGCCGTCTGTCCTGCTGTGGTAGCTTTTATTAAAGCATTATCTATGTTTACATTTTAAGACTTATTTTCTTAACATTCCAGAAGTGCCAAAGCAGCAACATATGCTTCTATTGATTATACAAGCAATAATGGGCTTTCTTGAAAACATGCCGTGCTTCGTCCTTGAGCGCAAAAGCAGCACAAGGTTCCCACCATTATTTTGATTATACTGAAGTAGCACAAGGACATTTCCTTGTGTTCCCACCATTCTGATTATACTGAGGACATCTCATGGATCAGTGCCCAAAGCACTCAATGCTTATTCGCAGGCCCCCGGTTTGCCGGGGGGCGGGGGGAGGCTCAAAGCATTCAGGACTGTTTGCAGTTCTGGCTTATTCGCCAGCTCCCAGTTTGCTGGGGGGGGGGGCAGGGGGGCTCATGGGTCACGTCTCCTTTCCATGTCCTCAGTTATTCCACTACATTCCTTTATAGCACTTATCACAATTTGTAATTAGATATTTGTTTAATGCTTTTTTAATGTCTGTCACCATTCAATAAGTTTTAAGTTTCATAAAGGCAGGGTCCAGATCAGTTTTGTTTACCATTATATCCCTAGGACAGAAAGGTGTTCAATAAATATTTATTGAATAAACAAACATGAAATTACTTGCCACACACCTCACAACTAGGAGTCAAAGTACCAGAATCTAATACAATTAGAGGACGGTTGGAGTGGAAGTAAAGTAAAGAGCTGGAAGCTTAAGAAGTTGTGGCCTGCTCATGGGAGTGAAGCCTAAGATTTCAGAAGTAGCAATGTTCTGAATGATCACAAAGTCCAAGATAGCTGGCTAACGTGGAGTAGGTATGAAGGTCTTTAGACTTAAAGGGTGGTCAACATTGATACTAAACTTCCAATAATGTTCGGAGCCGTGGTAGAGAGAAAATAATTTCAAAAGACAGATATTACAATTGGGAAGACAAAAAAGACTTGAAGCAAGAATCACACTGATTTAGAGTAGAGAAATGTACAAATCCTCTCTTCATGATCCCAGTCATGGTTCTAGGAATCAGGCTGTCAGCCATCATAGATAGCTCCTTCACAGAGCAGGACACTTCAGAGGCATAAACCAAATTACAGAAGTACTATAATTACAGGAGTACCTAGTGGCTTCTTCCTGCCACTAGGTACTCCTTCCATTTACTAGCACAATCAAACCTTTCTAGGTAATTCTATTTTGATTACAGGGAAGAGAACCAAAATTCCTTCCAAATGCTCTGTGAATTATTCTTTTTTTTTTTTTTTTTTTTTTTTTTTTTGGTACGCGGGCCTCTCACTGCTGTGGTCCCTCCCGTTGCGGAGCACAGGCTCCGGACGCGCAGGCTCAGCGGCCATGGCTCACGGGCCCAGCCACTCCGCGGCATGTGGGATCTTCCCAGACCCGGGCACGATCCCGTATCCCCTGCATCGGCAGGCGGACTCCCAAACACTGCGCCACCAGGGAAGCCCCTGTGAATTATTCTTGATAAAAGTAGCTTATTATAGAACAAACCAACCTCTCAGCCATGAACTATTCCTCCTAAAATCAACATTACAGGAAATACGGAGAACTTTTCAGAATTCACAAGCCTGTCATTCTCTAATTATCAAAGTAAAAAATGCATATTTGTCTCCTACATACTTCAGTAGTCTGATCTCAGAACAAAGGTCTGGTCTGAGAAAACCATTCTCTTGGAAGCCTAAAAACCCAAAAATAACATTCTGAAGATACCATAGTTCCAGTTTCTAGATTTTCTTTTTAAAGGCCTGATAGCACTGTATTTACTATCGCCATTTTCTTCTGAAATCACACTAATTTCCCCCCGATTTCCAGCAACTGCTTCAAACTAATCTGGAGATGGGATGTTATGTAAGGGTGGAGGTGAATGAAGAATACTGGCCATGAGTTGATAATTACTGAACCTGGGTACATGTGGGCTTCTTATACTATTCTACTTTTTTAAAAAAATAAATTTATTTATTTATTTATTTTTGGCTGCGTTGGGTCTTCATTGTTGTGCACGGGCTTTCTCTAGTTTCGGGGAGCAGGGGCTACTCTTCATTGTGATGCGCAGGCTTCTCATTGTGGTGGCTTCTCTTTTTGCGGAGCCTGGGCTCTAGGTGCATGGGCTTCAGTAGTTGTGGCATGAGGGCTCAGTAGTTGTGGCTCGCGGGCTCTAGAGCGCAGGCTCAGTAGTTGTGGCACATGAGCTTCGTTGCTCCGTGGCATGTGGGAACTTCCCGGACCAGGGCTTGAACCTGTGTCCCCTGCACTGGCAGGCAGATTCTTAACCACTGTGCCACCAGGGAAGTCCCTCTCTCTACTTTTAATATGTTAGAAATTTTCCATGAAAAAGGTTTCTTTTGTTTTAAGTTACATCAGTCTGAGAAACACAGGTCAAGAAAGTGTTAACCGGGCTTCCCTGGTGGCGCAGTGGTTGAGAGTCCGCCTG